TCTCTTCTTCGGTCTTGTACTGCTTTCCCTTGAGATATCTCTTGGTGTTTGGAAACAGGAAATAGTCGCGGTGGATGGTGAAGTTGTTCGAAGCCGCATTCCCTGATGGCAGCTTGTGCAAGCAATGATTTGTGAGCTGGTGCATTGTCATGCAAAAGAAGAACTTTTCGAGTGAGAAGACTAGGGCGTTTTTCTCTGATGGCATTGCGCAATCTATGCATCTGTTGTGCATAATAATAGTCCGTGACTGTGGTGTTCTTTAGGAGGAATTTAACCAATATTATGCCTTTTTAATTCCAGAACACAGAGGCCATTACTTTGTTTGTGGCAATTTGTTTGCGAGGCATTTTCGATGCTGGTTCACCACGTTTGTGCCATTCCATTGTCTGTGATTTGAGCTCTGGATCATAGAAGTAGATCCATGTTTCATCGCCAGTCACTATACGATCAAAAGTATCCCCTTCATTCCATTCCAACAACTCGAGATGTGCAGCAGCAACTCGTTCTTCTTTTTGAGACTTGTTCAAAGTTCTTGGAATCCATCGCGAGCAAACCTTTCTCATGAGCAATTTTTCATGAGGGATTCTAAATATACTTCTCTCTGACACGTCAAACATTGCTGCTAACACTTTCTTGCTCATTCGAGGATTTTCATGCACAAGGTGTTAAATTTTTTCCACCATATCTGGAGCAGTTGCTTCAATTGGTCGACCAGAACGTGGATCGTCTTCTAAAGACTCTCTGCCCCACTTGAATTGTTTTGCCCATAGTTTTACTGTGGCATACGATGGAGCACGTTCACCATAAACTGCACGCAAGCGATTATCGATATCTTTTGGTGCCACACCTTCTTTTGTCAGAAACTTAATCATCGCACGATATTCGATTTTATCCATTTTATAAAAAATCTCGAGGTTACTTCGTATGCAATGCTGTTGAAAACAAACGATAACAGCTATCAACTCATTTTTTTTTTCTAAAATACTAGTGACAATTTGTACGTGAATTACAGCACAAGAACAATATGTAACTAGTGCCTCCTTTCATCTTTTGAACAGCCGATTTCAATAGCAAGATGACGACAAGAGAGAGAGGGCGAGAAAAAAAAGCTGCATGCATCAATTCTCTTGTTTCAACAGGAGGTTCAATGTTTTTCTTGTTTCGATGCTGTTGATTTTTTCATCTTCATTTCACACATACAATGTATGCGAAGTCGGTGACGCCACGTCTTTTAGACAATTTGATTTTCTTTTTTTTTCGTATGTTGTCGATTTTTTCTCTTTTATATTTCTTTTCATATTTTTTTTCGGTTATTTAACACGATATTTTGATGAAGCGATTAGATAAAAATTTGTTAAGTTAGCTATTCAGATATTGTGAATAAATAAAATAACAACACGGTTTTTTTCACTATCTCTTTCTCTCCAACTCGTTTAATAACAACTTTTCCATTGAGTTTTAAATAAAAAAACATGCGATTTAATTGTTGTTTTATTGTTCAATTTTTCGAGCAAATTAGACAAATCCAATTAAATGAAGCATCTTTTTTTCTTGCATTGAATTCGATTGACGATCATTCGAAATAAATTACTCACATGAACAACAAAACAATTAACAATCAACACACACCGAACATAGATAGATATATTTTAGAATCAATTTTCCACGATGATCACTACAGTATACACACGTGTGTCGCACTGCAACGCCAAATCGAATAATTGTTTTCGGTTTGCATTGTGTGTCTTCTTCTCACTTCGGCGCGCACCACTTTCTTACTGTGCTTATTTTTTTTAAATCAAAATCGAGGGAAAAATGTCGCTTCTTCTGTGTCGCAAATTTTAATTAAATAAAATACAACACACCGCGATGTGTATTAATTTCAAAACATGCTGCACTCTCTCTCTCTCATTTGCTCTTTCTTACCCGAGGTCTTTCAACCAAGGATTTTACTCCAAATGACCAGGCTCAAGTTTTTTTTTTGCTCAGCTACATTTAATCGCTACTCACACACATACGCATACAAAATTGGACAATTTTTTTCTTGTCATTTCTTTGTTTTTGGCCTAGTTTTACTTGTTCGTGTCTAGTATTTCGCCGTTGACTTAATTGGATTTTCTTTGGTAAGCATGAGTGTGTGAGTGTGTGTGAAAATAAACGCTATTCGGCCAAACGATTAGCTTCTTCGCGACTCGCAAACACCACAGGCTTTTAATTCCATTTCCAATAATTCAAAATTACTTTTACTTTATTGGCAATTTGTAGAAATAGATAACAATATGCATATCGATCCAACGCTGCCACATATGGTCTTCGATGCATAAACATTCACCTTTCAACTTGTGATGCATATACCGCAACGTGTTCTCTAATACACTCACTCACACTCACTCTCTGATATTTAACATCAATGATATGCACATATTCATGATTAATTTACATATTTTTGACGATGTGAATGGCATGATTGTCATTTCGTTGTTTGTTCGTTAAAGTATGCACTCATGCATGTATGCCGTTTCTTCTCTCGATTCGTCGATTTTCCAATTTGCGATTTTGATGAGTTTCATTGAGTGCATTGAAACTGAAAGGATTGAAGGACGACACATTCATTGTATGGCACTCAAGTTCAAAGCCGTCACCAATCAGATTCACCAAATGTAACGATTGTTCCAAATGAACAGCCATCGGCACAGCGAACACAATTTCCACAATTTGAATTGATCAAAAATTGTTTTCCATAATTAAGCGCTTCGCAATCAGTGATAAGAAAATATTCGCTTGAAGCACATTTTATCGGATTCAATGGAGTTTTTGGCTTTTTCTTGTTCATTTTCAGTTTCCATTTTAATTTGATTTTTTTATTTGTGAATTTTTCCTCTCTCTTTTTTATGATGCACTTTGCATTGTTTTTATTTTGGTTATTTGTTTCATTGTTTGACATTTGTTTTTATGATTCTCGTTAGATTTTTCACAAGTGATATCGTTTGGATTGTGCTGGTTTTTATTTGTTCAAGTTTTAATGTATTTAATTTGGGTTTTGATGAGGTTGCAGCCTTACTTTGCCATTTGTTTGCTTGTATCCGCACACCTCTAGTTCTAACCACTAATTAAGTAACTATACCGTTTTTTTATTTCTTTGAAAAATTAGGCCCGCAAAATCTCACACATTAAACACTTGTGCCAAAAATAAAGCTTGTGTGATATACTTATTGAGCTTGGGAACCATACCTGATTAGAATCTTTCGGAAATTTGTTATTTTATAAATGAACGCTCTAGAATAAAAACAACTTATTGTTTACTCGCATATCGAAACGGGACTCAAAACGGTTGCATATCAAAGCCAGACAATATTTCGTTACCAAAGGAATAAAGAACATTGACTTTTTATTATACAAAATGTGTAAGTTTCATTTTGTGCTGATAACTAGTTACTGTTCTGATTTGTTTTAGTAACAGAATTTTGTTTCGCTTTGATATGCGACGCAGTTTAACGATATAAATATTTCACACTCTCGAAGGCTCGGTACAGAACACACAAAAAGTGTTGATTTGGGTGACAAAGATGACACATTTTTATGTTCTGATCACAGCACATGATATAGACCATTTTGTGGTGTTCGAGAATTGAGAAAAAAAAATCAGATTTTTTTTTCACTTTTTATACTTTATACGGAGTCTCCGAGAGTTTCATATAAACTCGCCTTGCAATAGCCAAATGACGCCTATTGATTCAATCACGATTGGTATTCGCTTACTATTCAATAGGCATCACATAGCAAGTTTATACGAAACTCTCGGAGACTCGGTATAGAGCACTCAAACAGTGAAAAAAAGTCCAGATCGTGATTTAAATGATATGGAATGCGATTTTTTTCATTCTGATTCCAGGTGATATGGAAAATTGAGTAGTATTTGAGAATTGAAGAAAAAAAATTAATTATTTTTTTCATTTTTCGCTCATTTTTACCATCTATATGGGAAGCTTGTTTGAAAAACACGGAAGACCGACGAACACATTTTCGGAAAATCCAAATGGACTCCCCATTATGAAAAGAATATAAAGTCAAGGTATTGAACCAAAAACGTCCCTTCACACATGATTGACAATTCCGTATACATACATTTCAAATATGAATATAAATGTGATTAGTTGGTAATCCATGATTTAATCTCATTTGATGTTTTGTTTATTTTGTTGTGTAAATCGCCATAAGGTTGAATTCCAATTGTATTCCCATTTGAAGCAAGGTGGTTATATTAAAATTACTTCATACTAATAATCAAACATTTACAGACTCCAAACTAGGCACTTGTGATTTTGTGTTCAGATATACCAACTTCTTATTTAAAAAAAAAAATTCAATGCTAAAATGAGACCATATTCTAGATTCAATGTGACATTCATTCTGTATTAAGCACGTAATTTTCATTGTTCAATGAACCATTGAATTTTTCGCTCCCACATGCAACCCATGTGACATTCAATTCTCATTTACGAAGCCGTAAATGTCACGTTATTTTCCCTCCTAACGATAGATAAACAAAGTAATTTTGCAATTTTTTTTTCTTCAATTCTTTTCGTTATCAATGGCACTGGTACATGTTTCCGGTATCGTAGAAAAATCGCATTTTTGGAGGAAATTTCACTCAAATAATGATGCCAATTATTTGCATGCACGTGGTCGTCGCCCATTATGCTTTCAATATCGGTTCAAATCGGAGGGGTATAATCCCAATCTTGAAATTGGTTAACTCAAAGGACAGATGGTAGAAAACGATTTCCGAATTAATGAGGTGATAATTTGTTTTTATTTTCGAATTGTAGGAAAAGCAATTGCTACGGATTTAATTTTGTGAGACGAACGAAGCTAGCAATTATTGAGTAAAAAACCGCAACAACAACAATTACAACAAAAAAACCAGTAGAAAAAACGCGGCCATATCGAATGAACGAAGCAAACGCGTGTCGAACCAAAAAAAAGTGCATTGCATCTGTGGCAAAGACTCTCTCACACCTCTCTCATACAAAATCAACAACATTCAGTGTAATCATAAATCTTGATAGCAATTAGAGATTGAATTATTATCTGGTGCGAATGCCAAAACGTGCTCCCATCGCTCAATGCTGCTTCTTTCTCAAATGAAGCATTTCATATTTGGATTGATCGCAGCTAGTACAGTGCGCGCATTTTTGTTTTCGGCATTTGCCTTCATGCATACGTATTTAGTTTCGATTTCTTCTCGGCTGATGAATCTATTGCACAAACGGTACGTCAGAGTTCACCTTTTTCGGATTCGAAATAAAAAAATGTTTGCCGATGAATATGAATGAATCAAAAATTAAAGAGTAGCAACAACAATAACACAAAAAAATATAAACGAGGCATAATTAACGTAATCATCTGCAATTTGATTTGAAAAGTGTGTGAGATACATGCGGAACTAGAGAAGAGAAACAAACTCAAAAATCATTAAACACTCATTCGTTAAATTATATGAACATGATATTTATACCGAACTTATTTAAACCAACCGAAGCAATTTCCGACTCATCATCAATTCACACACATACACACAGGTGGTGTTTGGTTGTTTGATTTGTTCATTGTGCTAATACCACGCGATGTTACGGAGATGGAGTGCGTGTATGTGTGTCTGTCCATCTTGATATTGTCATCCAGAAAGTACGATCGCATTATGCGTGTTTGATTTAATTGGAAAACAAATTCGTTGTTGTGAGCTCTGAGCTCATACCCGAAACTACTGTATGATACGTAATCGCATCATTTCCTGCATTCAATGCTTTTGGCTCGAAATTTTCTTTATTCACCTTCACTCTCTCTCTCCTTCTCTGGCTCTCACACAGTCTTTTTGTTAATGTGTTTTCAATCG